AGGAATCCCTCTGACGCCATGTGGGAACTTACTGTTCTGACTGATAAAGTGCTGACCTTCATCAGCACACGACGTCATATTATCTTCTTCTTCACTTTTCCGCCATTAGATCCGCTTGAGACTTTGGATGTTACTTTACGCAGACATGGATTCCATACGATGTATGATCTTGAGCAGTTCGTTACACAATGCAGAACAGAGGGTATGAATCTTCGTGCTGAAGTGTGGGAGTTCTTCATGCAAGGACCCAGTGTATACACGCCGATCACTTGTGAAGCTCCAGCTTTACCTCACATTGTGGTGTTCGCGTCGGTATGCAAAGAATGGTATTATTCCATTATTCGATTGGTTGGCGATCGTACCTTCTTCAATATTCAACAGCTTTGGCGTCTTGCCCAAGTACGCCATGCAACGGTGGAATGGATTCATCATTCCAATGAAGACCGACTGCGTATTGGATCTGCTTTCATCGATGATCTCAATGTTCGTCGCATTGTTCATCCACTGTAAAGTGTAGGTATGACTCGGACCCGACTGGATGATGCGACATAAGAATAACTGCGGTGCTTTGTCATGCACGTTCAGACATGTTGGTCCATGTATTGTCTTTTGCTGTGTTGAATTGCAGTGCTCAAGCTTATAGGTGTCTCAGTAACCAATCATGTCGTCCAGTGGCCGTCGTACTCTTCGTTATGAACCAGGGTCGAGGCGAGCCAGCGATGACTATTTGGAAGATGTTGTACAAACAGCAGCTGACGATGCCCTTGATAATCTACGTTCCAGTCATGTTCACCCGCAAGACCTCATTCGGTTGATGCTTCGCGTTGTCGAAATCCTATGCGACTCTCCGGAATTTCAACAAAGGACGTCACAATGCTCCGGAATTTGCTCTTACCCGGACTGTGGTCGTGTTTGTGCTCGAGCAGACGAAGGTCACAATCACTGCCGATGCTATTACCACCAGGTCAATGACCGCAATGAGCGAACGAGGAAGAAGCGTAGACTCGATTAGGCGTTTTGCTGCTCTGATGACCTGGAGCAGTCGCGATAAAAACGTGCATCCTGAGGCTTCTGTGCCCCTTCGGGGGCCTGTTTGTGTTATTCTGCTGTACATGCGACAAATCTGCACTTACATGTCCGTTTTCCTAATGGTTTCCTTTCTGAAGACTTTTGACGCTGCATGTTTTGGCCTTTGGACACTCCTTGTTTTTCTTGCTTGCTTTTTTCATGGTTTTCTCCTTTTTTCTTTTCTGTCGTTTTTCTTCAGTTTGCAGGGGGCTGGAGTGCATCGCAGAAGTCTCCAGCCAACGAAGACGCTTCTGTGAATGCAGTGAAAACGTACCTGCAGTGGTGCACCTGGGGAGAAGTACTCCAGCTGGTGGCCACAACATGTGTTTTCAAAACATGCTGGTTTCAAGCAGTTTTACTCTCCCTGAAAACAATGACATGTTTCTTGCGTATTTCGAACAAGGCAGGTATGCAGGTTTGACCATGCTTTCGCCTGTTTTGAAGCTTTGTACGGTTGCTGCAATCTGTTTGAGCATGTCCATGAAAGTTTCTGCAGAACGCCTCCTCAGTTGTGTTGGAAGAGAGAGATTCAGAGATCCGCGTGCCGCGGTTTCTCAGGTGTACATTTATCGGATTCAACAAAACGGTGTTGCCGTGGGGTCGTTCCTCCTCAGCATCGCGGTGCTCGAGGCAATTCTTTGGCCGGTGCTCTTTCTGCGGTTGCCCATTGAGTCAAAGGCATTTGCCGAGCGATGTGTGAAGTTGCGGCTTAGCTTGAAAGCCTGGACACAGTACACTTGGAGCTAGGCAGGGCGATGTATGCTCTTTGAGAGAACCTAGAGACTTTGCATCTTGCATGAACCAATCATGTACCCAGCTTCGCTTTACATTTCTCAGAGCCCACAATATGATGGAACTTCGGCTTTCGAATGCTCGCAATCTGGAAGTCTGTCGGCGGTATAGATTTGTACGTCTCAGGTTAGGATGCGAGGCTAGCGGTAGGTGCAGCTGACTCCCTGTGTCCGAGTCCTCCTGCTGGTGCTCTTGCTGCTTGCACTGCTGCGACTTCCAGCCAACACTGCCGTACGGATGCACGGGAGTGCTTGTACCTTGCGAGCTTTAGAGTCTTGGCATGAGACACTCCGCGCGATTCCCAGGTTGTTGATCCTTCTGCCTGGCATGATCGGTTTCTGGGGCGGTGCCTCTTACGATGCCGCGGCACACCTCGGTGCGGGTTGCGAAACGTAGCTGCTGCCATAAGACAAACTTGCGGTGCACGGGTTGCAGGATCTCTGCGGATTGAAGCCTCAACCATTTCCAAGACTCTTGGGCTCCCGGCTGTGTGTCTGTGTAGTGGTCATGTGCATGTATATGTATATATATATATATATAGATATAGATATAGATATAGATATAGATATAGATATAGATATAGATATAGATACAGATATAGATATAGATATAGATATGCATGTATGTGTGTATGTATGTGTGTGTATATATATATATACATATATATAGAGAGAGAGAGAGAGAGAGAGAGAGAGAGAGAGAGAGAGCAGTAGTACTGTGGTTCTGGCATCATCATCTTTATGCGAGCCAGCCTTGCCAAGCCTCTGCCAGGTGTGATTCCGCTGATCCTTGTGATGTCCATGCTGGGGCCGCTGCGTGTGACCCGCGTGCCAGCAGCTAGGATTCATTGGCGAGTCGTGGCCGTACACACAGAGACGTCGGGAGTAGGGCAGGGCCGCAAAGACGTCGGCGGAGCAGTTGCAGTAGCCGTCTTCGTGCAACGGTCCGTTAGCAGTGGCGCTGTGCAAGATCTGCATGTTGAAGATAGCTGCCTCCGGCCACAGAAGCTGCAAAATCGCAAATCTAGAGCCTTCAAGGTCGTGGGGCCAGCCTTGATTCGCCTGCTCTTTGGAAGGAACCCGTGCCGGGCTACTGTGTCCTGGCGAACACTCTCCCTGAGACGTGTGTCTGACGTAATCCACCTTCATCACTCTCGCCAGCAACTTCGTTGATGAACACTACTCACTATTCTTTAAGCAGTATTTCATGGGCTACACTGGTTTTGGAGCTTGACCTATTGTTGATGTCGCCATGCTTCTCACATGAAGTAGGACGTTGCCAGTGATTGTGATGAGGGTACATGGAGCTCCTCAGCGTGCAAAACATCGCCCATTCCAAATCCCGTTCTGAGAAAAGCAGCGTTACTGATGCCTTTCGCGGGGGTGCCCCTGTCAGGAAGAAGAAGCGGGGTTCTCATGATGCTCATGATGCTCGCCTCCAGAAGGTTCTTGGGGCTATCGGAACGGCCAGGGACCTGGTGTTTCCGGAGAGGCCAATGCAAGGAAAGCATATTGCGCGCAGAGTAGGCGCGCGCGCGCTTGCGCCCTCCGGTTGACCAGGACAGCGTGCGCCGTGCGCATGTGTGTGCGCTCTCCGGGTTCGGAAGGGCTGTTGCCCTTTAGCCTGCTGATCCGATGTCTTTGTGCGCACTCAGCCTGCGCCGCGTACGGCGTTGCCACCCTCCGCACAGCCCGAATTAATCCTATCCGCATTATCCCTTGTTGTAGTGCATTGTATAGTGCAGAAACTGTACAGATGATTGAGGCTTTCAGCAGCATTGTGCGCATGATGCAAGCAGACACTTCCGACTAATGCATGTGCAAGTATTATGTCTTGAAGCCTGGCCGCCCCAGTATCACAACTGTTAAGCACTCACGGAAACTCAGACGGCATGCTGCCGGCGCTCTTAACAGCAGCATGCATATGTACGGACGTATGTGTGCAGGCGTGTATGTCCGTATGTTCGTACGTACATATGTACGTATTTGTGCATGCATGCATGCATGCCCGCCTACCTGTCAACAAATCTGAAGGTCTAGGACCTTTGTGCAAAAGGCCTACTGTCCTTCCTGAATGGACGCATCCATACATGAAGGTGTGTCTTGCTGTTGGTCGTTTTGCGCCTCTGGTCCTTCGACAAAGAGTGTCGATAGATCTCAGGTACGGCCCGTGCAGCGCCAAGAAGGCAAAGAGAGTGGTCAACGCGATGACAGCGATACCTTCTCGATGTGACATACTTGTATGTATGAGACGACCTGGCCTTCGACCCACGATTCGAGGCAGTGCCGGATCCTGGTGCTACTGGGAGCCGTGGTGGTAGAGGTTTTGTCATGAGCTGTACCTTTCACCCTGGAGTTTGTGAATGTCTTTGCGATCTTTGACATGGTCCGGTCTCCGGAATTGCCAATATTCTTGAATGTCCGATGGACTGCGATGCCTCCTGATTTCGACGCTGAGAATGAGATTTAAGATCTCGATAGCGGGTTTCACGAGTGCTCAAAGGGCTATGCCTTGTCTCGTAATGTAGACATCGCAAAGCTCTGGCTTAGCTTTGCTGCCGAAGGCGCAGAGCTACACCTATTCAACATCTTCAGTACGAAAGCTCGTGCTCCACAGACCGATGGACCGGGACTGCAGGAATCAATCGCATCTAGAGGCTAGCTCCAGTAAGCTTCTGCAATCGACTGCAATCCTGCTAAAGGTCCTCAAAACACAACAGATTTCGTTACGAGCAAAGTTCACAAGCTGAGAGAAAACCTGTGCATAACATGTTGAGTCACATGAACGACCCAATCAATTTCGCACCTCGAAAGGAGCTTCGGAGGGAAACATGTTCTTGAGAGCATATCACTAGACACAGAAAATGGATATGCGATGTTACAGTACCGCGCTAGCAGCTGCAAGAATCGTTGTAGGGGTCGTGCCTTTCTCTTTTAGGTAAGGTGCAGCATTTGTTTCCCTTCATCGAGCATCATACCTGGGGTTGTTTTCGTGGGGTGACTTAGATTCGCAAAACGCGTGCGATGGTCCGGAAACAGAGATGCCAAGAGGCCAGAATAACAATCGCTTCTGCCTTGCGCGTGTTGGCGCGAGTTGGAAAACTTTAAAAGGCATCAGCTCAGGTCCCTTCCCATCGCGCCATGTTTCCGGCCTTGCTCTTTTGGGGACTTCTCCCTGTTTCAGCGGGTTTCGATCTCACTTGGGCTCCGCCCACGCGCTTTGCAGAGCCTACGGGAGCCCGCAGTCTGAGCGGAGGTGTCATCCGTCAGAATTACATAGATCCCGAGAGCGGGCTGCGGTTCCATCTGCAACACGACACTGTGCAGCGAGAGGGCACCCAGATCATCTTCCTGGATCAGCTCGAGGGCATTCTTGGTGCATATTGCCCCGAGGAGCCCGAAAGGCTTCGGAGAGTGAGGCACTTTGCATTGTCGGAGGTGCAAGCCCTGAAATCGGAAATGCCAAGTCCCTTCCCTTCAGGAGAGCGTTTTGCTGCTGGCGTTCTCTCGGGCAGATGCACTCGACAACTTCCTTCAAGCCACCAAGTCCGTCCAGGGTCGTGTGATCCTCGCATCGACTCGCCATCCTGCTTCCTGTGGGGTTGAGGCGGATTGCCATGGCTGGTTTGTCTGTTCCGGTATTCCCGGGTTGATGTTTCGGAGCTTGAGGCTTAGAGAGCATCTTGTGAAGCACTGACAGGTGTTTTTGGGCGAGGTGGCGCCCAACAGGGTGAAAACCACAGCAGTTCCGCCAATTTCTCAGCACGGGGTTTCCGTGACCTACACTTCCAAAGACTACGGCAGTGTTTTCGAGTATGCCAACATCACCGTCTCAGCACCATTGGCCACCGTTGCGCCCAAGATGCCTGTCGAGCTAGAGCAGCCAGAGCAGCCAAAGGAGAAGAGTGCCAAACCCCGGCGGCTGTTCCTGTCCTCCATCTTGAGCCTTGCCGACTTGATCAGTTTCAAAAAGCTTTGAGGACGGTATGTAGGAGTACAAAGGGATTGAAGACTAAGGAAGAGCACCTGGAGGGCTGTGAAAGGCCTCGCCAGTGCTGCCCTTGCACCCGTCTGGGTGGCATTAGAGGCATTGGGCTTGACCGAGTTGAGCGCGTCCAAGACCTTCAAGATTTTCGCCTTTGACAGAGGAGACGCTGTCCGCAAATGATAGCCGAGCAGGCATTCGACCATGTAGGCCAGAGTTTCAGTGAATGGTCCGGGTGCGCAACCATGCCTTTATGATTTGTCGGGGGGGATGGAGCCCAGGGCGTTCCTGGGCTAGTGCCATTTTGTTGGTCATCAGGGAGATTAGCGCAGGAGACCAGCTGAAGACGGCGATCCAGCAGGCAACTTGCAACTCCTGCGTCTCTACCTGCGAGGCGTCCTCGAAGCTAACCGCAAAAGTAACCTTCCAGCTGAAGAGCTTTGGCCAGATTTGATCGGAGAATCTTGTCGAGTTGCATCGGGAATCAAGCACCCTGGGTCGGAGTCCTGCTTGAAGACTCGAGTCCCAACCTGCAAATCCTGAGAGCCCAGTAGTTCCCAGGAACACTTAAAGACTGACGCCACAAATTCCCTTGTACGAGGATGCCGAGCGGCGTGGGCGTTCGTCAATCAGGGGTTTCTCTGTGCGGTGGTCTCTGCAATAATGTGGGCATGTGCGGCTTAGGGTTTACACCGGGTTCCGAAACTCGCATCCCATCCAACTTCGCAGAACAGGAGTAGGTCCCATCGGTCCGATCTGCGATGCCGGGTCAACGGCTGGAGCTTATGCAAGCACGCCCGAAGAAAGCAAGTGGACGTCGTCGCTGAAGCGCAGAAGCCTGAAGCCAAGGATCTCTGGGGGCGCCACCGAGCTGGCAAAGCTGGAGATCAAAGGCTTGGGCTGCTTGGGGGTTGAGGGAGGCTTTTTGTAGAGTGGGCCTCCATTCGCCCAAGCAGGCACCCTCGCCAATCTCCTGGAAGTCAGTGGCGAGAAAGTGGCTCAGCTCTCTGAGGCTCTCCGGGGTTCTGGTCAAAACGAATCTTGTTGGCTCCTTGTCTGAGGATTGTGACTTGTTTTGGTTCTCCGGTCGTTGAAGGGATCAGAGGGCTGTTTCGCAGAGTGCAGAGGCCGTCACTGCCAGAAGGAGCTAAGCAGCTATGCAGTCATCCTACAGACTCGATCAAATCTACGTAGCGCCAACAACATCCGGCCCGTTTGTGGCAGGAAAGGCAGCTGATCAAGTTTCCACCAGTTTCCATCAAATTCATGGTGGGGCCTGTTCCTGCCCCTTGGCTTCTTTCGAACTTGCTGCACGACAGTGTAGGCATGATCGTCTTGGTGTCTGCCAGTGGCCGAGGTATATTTGCAGGTGGATGCAGGCCTTCACGCGGGCGTCAAAGCCTCCGTTGAGGCAAGCTACGGCCTGACTGCAGCAGCGGATGCGAGCCTGACGCTTACTGCAGCCTATCGGGACAGTACTGGGAAGGTAGAGCGGAACTTGGACTTCAATTGGGACCAGCTTGACACCAAAGCCACCTTCGATGGAAAAGCCACAGCAATGCTGTACTTGAAGCCAGTGGTGACGTTTACAGCATACAAGATCTTTCAAGCAGCCTTCGTCTTGAAAGTCTTCTACCAAGCGATCTGGACGCTAGAAGGTGAGGCCCTCGCGGGCGAATGCTCGGCAAACCTCAAGAAATTCTGGGGCTTGGACCTGTCCCTGACAGTGAAGATCCAGTCCGTCTTCACGAAGTCGTTTAACCTTTATGCGAATCAATGGCCTCTGGCAGAAAGGGAGGATGATTGTGGCCCGTTCATAAGTCTGCCTGGCAACTTGCTGGCGGACTTTGTGGAGGGCACGTCCGATGATGATGATGATGATGATGGGTCGGCGGTGTCGGATGATGCCTCAGGCGACGAGTCAGGTAGTTCTTCGAGTCCTTCGACTCAGACTTCGCAAGATGGCTGCAGGTGCAAGCAAAACTGGACTGCAGACTGGAATGGCTCCGAAGTCACGTGCAACAGCTACTGCTGCCAGTTCGAAGGAACTTCGGGTTTTTGCGTCAAGGAAGACCCGACGTGCGGCACAGAGTGCTGGGGCAGCTGTGACACGCGACGGCTTACCACCTGCGAAAATGTTCAGCCATTTTGCAATGCGAATGCTTGCGAGAATGAGCAGCCGGACTGTCCCCAATGCCCAATTTACCGGCCTGTTTCGTGTTTGTGTACTATTCAAGATACGGCAAGTAAGCTACAGCTGATCGAGTCCTGTTTGTTGGATTCAGGTCTCCGCTGTGGTTTCTGCGGCCAAGATGAAGATGTCAATGACACCGGGGGGAGTTCCGGCTCCAGCGGGGCTTCACCACCCAGTTCAGGCCCCTGAACCGAAACTTGCTGCTGTTTTGAAGACCTGTATCTCACAGCTCACGGAATCAGAAGCAGCATGCCGACAGATGTGCCTGTGCGATCCATGTAACACAGCACGCCCCAGAAGGCATTGAATTCCAACAACGAAGTGCGCCTCTCACACCAGAATTACCTAGAAGGCTTGAAGTCTCCTAAACAAGGCTGACCAGACAGAGTCCACGAGACCTTGAGCTAACTCAGGAACCGCCCCACAGCCCTTGGGTCAGGTTCGGGGTCCGCTCTGAGTCTCGCGTCGCACAGCGTGGGTGCACTCTGGAATGGCGACTTGGCAGCAGCGTGGCGTTCTGGGTGCCGGGTTGGTCTTCAGTATCTGCTGCCGGAGAGTTTGGAGTTTGGAGTCTTGGGAAACAGGATCAGGCAAGTTGTGACAGCTGTGTGGAACTGACATGGTTTGCGAGAGCCGAGGTCTCATTACGCCCATTTCGGATGGGACATGCCCCAATAACCCGTCCGCTGAGCTCGTTCTGCAGCTCGTGGAGGTGGACGACTGGGGGGGCGGCAACGGTCAGATGACATTTATGGGCGCTACCAACGTCCTCTTGCCGGATGGCCGATGCACCGTCAGCTTGAGCTACGTGGCCGACCTCTACGGTGGCAGCATTCAAGGTGGCACTTTGAAACCCAGTGCAGACGACGACTTCTTCGGTGATTGCGATGGGTTCGAGCTGCCATATGGCTGGAGGGTGGATGCAACCACGACCCGCATCGCAGGAAAGGATTCAATGAATTGCTACAGCGTTGACTTGCGGGCATCTGTTGCTTTGCCGACCTCGAGACGACTTTCCACGTGCATCGTGGATCCAAACGCCACAATGTACATTGCTACCGCAGAACTCAGCTCTTCGAAATTCGCTGTATTCAAAACGGCATTGCTGCTTCTAGCTGTGCTGTTTGCTTTCGATGCTGTTGAATTTCCTCTTTGACCTTGATGCCCCCTTTCCAGCACGCAGTCAAACTGCTTGTGCTGTTGTGTACTGCTGTCATAGGAGCCACCTTGACAGAATCCCTTGTACCTTCCCGAGCAAAAGGTGCTCGGTCTGATGCACCCAACACCGTTGTCGCAATGACAACTCGGCCGGCCGTAAACATTCCGCGAGCATTGGTGAAGCTGCCAACCCGAGCCCTTACTGATGTAGTCGTGAAGCGACCTTGCCAATTGCAACCTCTAACAAAGTTTGGTGATGAGGCTTGTCTCACAGTGGCAGCGCACGTGTTTGCTCCGAGCCAAGACGGTAGGTGAGAACATTGACAATGACAATGTCTGTGAGCTCGCAGCAAGCTCGGCGAGTGCGCTAGCCGCTAGACACTTGAAACAGGCCCTGACCATCCCACGTCGTGGCCCTGCTAATTAGCCTACACCGCACCACACAGATCTTATGACCGTGCCGTAAGCAACAGCAATGTCCAATTGATGCACCCTGTGTTCGCAAATGCTGCACCTTCGATTCCCCAAGCACAGGATACGCGGACTGCATAGCTGCCCTCTGCCCACATGGAATTTGCGGGGATGCAACCTGTTCCGGAATCCAGCGGCAGCGAGGGCGAGTCGTCTCAGGAGGTCGTAGATGCGGAATCCTGATTTCCGGAGAGCTTCAGGTAAGTTCACATTTCCGCTGCCTGGCAGGCCTCCATCAAAACGGAGGAACGCTTCGGTCTAGATCTTGGGCAGAGGCTTCCATCGCTCTTCGCCATGGTTTTGGGTCGATGAACTCGTCTTTTGTCGTGGAAGGCTGCAGGCCTCGCGCAAGCCTTTTTTTGCGGCGATCTGTGTGGAGCTGCTGTTCTGTGCCGAGCACTTACAAGAGCTGAAGGCGTGTGATCTGTCTCATAAAGGGGTTCCTTGCCACAGGCATTGATGAGCAGATGGGTGCGGGAGGAGGAGTTGCACTTCTCCCCACTTGAGAGACTCTTGCCCAAATGTTGACAACCCAGATTCCATTGAGTTTTGGTTAGAGGCCTGTTTGCCTGGCGTAGTCCGTAGGATGTTGTAGGCAGTCCTGGCCACGCGATTTTTTCTGAGAATGGATCCCCGTGGATGCGAAAGAGCTTTGGCTGCAATTAGACCCGTCCAACCCCTTCCCAGTCCGACTTCCCATGGGCTTTGAGTAGTAGTGAGTCGCATAAATCCAACCTTTGTGGTTGCACCTCCGCGCCGCCGGGCATGGGGTCTCTGTGAGCTCGCTGTTGCCGCTGTCAGCCGATAGCCAAATGCTCCGTGCATTCGCCGCGCAGCGAGAAGCATGGACATGTGTCCAGCATGAAGGTTTGGCTTGAGAGAATGCCGGTGAAGAAAGCATGACGAGACTCATCTCGAAGTATCCTGAACTCAGCTGCAGGATTTGGTGAGTTTTTGCTGGGGCACATTCATCGTGACAGGCCTCCTGAGAGTCTTCTGCATTTTGGCAGCAAGGTGACAGCTTGCGAGCGGTTGTGGATGGCGGATCGGCATATCTTAAACCCAGCCACGCTCAAGTAGGTCCAGCAGGAGCATCCAAGCGCTGCAGCCATTCGAGACTTGAAGATACCAAACCCCAGTATCACAAACAATGAAGCAAATCCCAAAGTTGCTACTATTCCTGGTCTGCAGTATCAAGACTCTAAGACTACATGACTTAAAGTAAAGCCGTGAACTGAAACCTGAGCCTGTGCAGCTTCATTCGTTGAACATGAAGCCCTGGAGTCCGAGAAGCTGGACACCCCAAAGTTCCTCAGCCAAGCTTATCTTACACCCAAGCTGTAACGGATGAACTGTCTTAGGCATCTGGGGTCTGCCTCACGTCCGCACAAGCCCTGGCGCCGTTCGAATCGGCACTGCTGCGACCTGAGTAAGTTTAGCTAGAAGCGACAATCGCGACAACACCCATCACACACTTGACATCAAGCACCGACAGTAACAGCAAGCACCAAGATCATCGCGTGAACGTGACAACTCACAGCCCACGGTGTGCAGCAGTGTGCGGCGACGATGCCAACGATAAATTGGCTTGGGTTCGTGCTGGGTAGTGTTTTCGATTTGAGGCCATCTTCATGCTGGCGGGCACCTTGCAGTGGGTGCTCCTCGGCTTAGGGCCACTCATTGCGGTCTGCTCTGACATTGACAGAATGCAGCTTTTTCCGACTGTTCTGCTCTGAGGATCTATCTTTCGGCCTTTTATGTGGAATACGACGCATCCACACCTGTGGATCGGGTGCACGATGTGAGAATGGCAATGCAGGCTATGAGCGGGATGCCAGTGTGTCTCTTTCAGGGGCAAGCTAGACACTCAGCGATGTTCGGGGCTTAGAAGGGCCCTGGAAAAGCCTCACCTCCCCTCCAAACCCCAAAACACTTTCGTCGCAGCGAGGAGGTCCCCACCTTTCTTGGTGCGCCATTGGCCTCCTGCCTGCGCGAGCATAACTGGAGCTACTCTGTGCCTCGGACTCCTTTGAAGATGACTGCATACTTGCACTCTTAGTAATTCTCGATTGGCTGGATGGAGCGGGGCCCTTCCTGATGTATGATGCGACCACCCTCATCAAAACGTTGCCCATCGTTGACGCTGATGCAGGTGCCGCAGCTCCGCCCCGAAGCGTTACGTCATAGATCCTTGGGGCAGCCTAGAGATGAATCCTGAGCTCTCAGGCATGTCGGCTGAGGGTGACGAAGAACTGCACTATGCCTTTCGAGCCTGGCAAGCAGTATGCAGACGGAGATTGTGTGGAAACTGTCGTGACCCGGCTGAAGAGCAGGGCAGTTCCAAGCCGCTCCCGGCGGAACGCTGGACTCTGCCGGCGGACTCCCAGCGCCGCAGCTCCCGGCAAGCTGTGTGGGGTGCTGAGCTGAGGTCGTTGCCGGCCAGCCGTGCTGCGTGTGCGAGAGGGTTGTCCTTGGAAAGCCGTTGCTGGAATTTGGTTTGAGAGTAGACGACGTCTTCATGCTGGTAAGATGGCTGGCGATTCTGATGCTGGGCTGGGTGGTGCGTGGTTGGGTATCGACTCCTGCTGCTAACTCCTTCACAAGTGGTGCCTGGCTTGACATATTGGATGCCGTGGTCTTTAGCGACTGGGCAGAGCAAGATCACCTTACAAGATCTCAATTGCTCCAATGAGCATTCAAGTGGCTCGTGAATGCTTGCATTCTGTGATATTCGCGGTTGTTCGGACACCCAGATGAGATGCACGCATCAAGCTTCTGTCGGACTGCAGGTGACAACATCCGGTCCCCAGCAGTTCGCCATCCTGCGTATGGCATTGACTTCGACGGCAGCATGCGCCCGAAGGATGCAACGCTGCCTGGTTTTCGTCATGGTTCGTCGCAACTCAACATCTTATCAGCGTACCGAGCTCTTGCAGCTTATTGTTGTCGGTGAGTCCTAAAAAGCCTTCTAAGAAGCATGTAGGTCCCCAAGCCAGGGTCTGAAGTCTGAAGACGGGCAGCTTGATGACTGGACCTTTGCTCATCTCGTGCTGAACCGTAGCTGTTTTGTGGAATCTGAAACTGCTGCAGCGCCGTTGCTGTACAGACCGTCATGTCAGGTTGTGGGGGGAGTTCATCCCGGAGCCACCCGAAAAACAACCCACTGACCAACAAGCTCCTTTGCCCCAAGCCCCAATGTCTTTCCGCATTTTTCTGCGGAGAAAAGGCTTTTCGTTGCTGTCTCTTTGACGTGGGTCGTGGCATTCACCACCGTGGTGCTCCTTCTCAATCGCACAGAGAAAGGTTCAGTGTGCAGCAAGGGAGGTCTTAGCGAAGGCCAGGAGGGGGGGTTCGTCAGCTTTGCTTCGAGGTTTGCTTAGTTCCGGACCCTTCGCACAGTGCTTAAATTTTAAGGACAGCCCGAACCCTGGAAATCTCTTTGATGACACAGTTAAGGTGGTGTCTCCTGCACTATTCACCACGTTGATGCCTGCAGTGCAGGCACCCCGAATCACTGCTATGTTGCCCCGGGCTCTGGGTAGGCAAGCAAGATCATCACGATGTCGAGAGAAAGACCTGCTGCTTCGTGAGAGTCAAAAGGGCAGCCAGCCAACAACGTCAAACAGCTCGCAACTGTGCACTGCTTCCTTGCGGACTTTGCTTCGGAAGCAAACTCAACCAAGCTATTGACTCCCTCTGGCAGGAAAAGGCACCCAGCATCGACGAGCTGAAGGAAGAGCAGATGCGCCGTCTGAAGGTGAAGCCGCATTGGAGCGAACTAGCCCCAAACCCCACCGAGTCCCGAGCCAAGCTACTTGCACTGGAAAAGAACTCCCCACCCCTAGCCCTACCGCATACTGCTTCTTGTGTACATGGATGTGTGCTTGCAGTGTTTTTCCTTTCCCTACTGTGCTGTTGACTGTACATGCATGCGACTGGCGAGTGGGTTCAATCGACTTAATCCCGAAGCCTTCACTTCTCTTCACTTCAAGTCGTTTCCAGCATCCGCGATCTTACATAAGAGTCCTCTTGTTTCAGGCTTGTCCCCACTTTAATTGGAGATATGACTTTCAGGACAGCTTGGCATGCTCGGACGAGCACGAGGTGGGGGGGAGTAAATTTGGACAACGCTGGTTTACCTCCATGCAGACCTGTGCCCGTTCTGGCGGCCAAGCTTGGGCTTGTCAATCGAAGTAGGGAGAGTTTGACAGTGGCCACTTGATCGGAAACTCCGCAACTGTAGGCTTCTCATCCTCAAAGCTCTGGAGTTCACAAGGCAGCGCTCTCCCGCCCTGACGATGAGGCCAGGGCAGCAGCAGAAGCAGCCCTAGAGCTGCTCCGTCGGAGTGTAAAGGAGCGGCAAGGAGCCCGGCTGCGGAGTATGTATGCATGTGTGTCTGCCTCTTTGCATGTATGTCTGCCTGGCTGCCTGCCTGCCTGTCGGTCTCTCTCTGTCCGTGTATGTATTTATGTATCGATGTATCTATGTATTTTTTTCTCTATGTATCTGTGTACGTGTGCGCATGT